AAGTTACAAGTTTATGAAAAAGTACAAGAAGGGAAACTGAAACTGAAAGCATGTTCACTGACTGAAGAGTTTAACCATAAATAATCTCTTAACCAGCCCATCAAATAAGTGGAAGATTCATTAAACTGCGAAGCATTACCCTGCCATAATGTAATGTGCTTCCAATGACAATAAAAAGTAACCCATCAAATGGTATTTAACATCCAAAAAAACTGCCAAATAAAATATTGTCAGTGACTGTAAGAGCATACTGGAACTCATAGACATGTGTCCCTATTACTCTTTTCAGGGATCTTTTTCAGTGATGATGATGAAATACTTATATTAATCAAAGGAGAATTACAAGTGTTTCAGTTAGTACATTATAGACTTATTGTATATAAGTTGTATACTAAATGAAAAGACATAGAAAAATAAGACTTACAATGAAAGATAAAATTTACAAGAAAAAAATTTCTAACTAATCTTAGTCGCTGAAGTCGATGTAACCAGGTACTTCTTCTCCAAGCATCTTTCGACGTAGAAATTCTCTTCTGATCCTTCGGTCTATCATTTCACCATAAACATCATAAACATCATAAACATCATTGTCCAACCAATACCTTAGATAATCAAGATGTTCTATAGGACAAAGACCAAACTCAGACACTATTTGAAAGCTGTATTCGCGTTCATAGTCAAGGAATATAAATCCAAACTCAGGCTTTATATGCACAATGTTGTGTTCGCTCGCAAAGAGAGGTTCAACATAGAGATGTCTGGCTTCTTCGAATCCTTCAGGACTTCCTCCAGGGAGAATTTTGTTTCATGTTCGTTCCTCATCGTTGGGATCTGAAGGTTTTTTTCTTCCACCTTTCTCCACTATCGGCTTTGAAGGTACAACAACGAATTTGGACATCTTCTTGATCAGCTCGCTGATGATGTTTTCAATTATTGGCTTGTGCCTTGACTTTGAGCGCTAAATGGCTTGGCGGATTTCCATCCATTCACTATAGCCGTATTGTCTAAGGTAGGAAAGATACTCTGTAACAGCTTCAAGGCTGTCTATATTGATGAGCATGAATATGTGAAGTCCACCATCTTTCATTCATACATTGATTGTGATGCTTGAGTTGCGGTGAGGACTTATTCTCTTATTAAGACGATCTTCACTCCATTTTCTATCTCAGTCGTTTAGCTTCTTTGCCTTTTCACGTTCAACTTCTACAATTGAAAGCAACTTAGCTTGGACCTTGAGAACGTTCACCATCTTTTTAGACGATTTCTTTCGAAGAACTTGAGCAGGAAGAGACTTGGCCAGGTTTAGGTTGTCCTCAGTCTGTTGTCGTTGAAGATTGAGTTCTTCTTCGGCCTTGAGTGCTTCGAGTTTTTCATCTTCAGTAAAGAAGTCAAACTCAACACAACTAGAGGTACGAAGAGGAATTTTTACTCTAGTTTGGTCGAGTGACTCTTTAAGTTGAGTCATCTGTTGGTCGCTAGGAACATTAGAAGTTGGGTTTTCAGGTACCCATTCCTCTAGACGACCACAAGTAGTAGAAGGGATAAAAAAAGAGAGTTGACGTAAGGAAGTGACTACTGCAAACCTGGAGGATTCAGTATCTTGAGGTATGACATGTTTGAAGAGAACTTTGAGATTTCCTTCTTTAGCAACATTTTTTTCTTTTGAAGAGGTGTTTTGGTTCTTTGTGGAAGTCTCTTTCTCCCCCTCGGATGAAGAATCCCTGAGAGAGACTCCTTTTGAAAGCACTAGCAGGTTTGTGGTACTGAATCTTGAATTCGTCGTCATCGTCGTCTTCATCATCATCACCATAGAGATATTTTCTAGCGTCAGGAAGGGATGGAGAGTCATCATCATCTTCATCCTCATCATCTTCATCCTCATCATCTTCACCTTTATCTTTCTCATCACCAACATCAACTACATGGGTGATAGGAAGGTCTATGTCATGAGCTTCAGCATTAGTGTGACGACATCATCAACAACCTCAACTTCGGCTTCATGGGTAGTGATGGCATCATCAACAACCTCACCTTCATTAGCTTCAGCTCTTTGAGCATCAACTTCAGCTTGTGTTGTAGCGAAAGCAACAATAAAGTCTTTCTCCTCCTTTTTGTCATCAACATGACTAGTGAAGTGGTTATCAAGACTTAGTGCTATTATGTTCATTCGTTGTTCAAGCACGCTCAACGATCTATCTTAAAGAAGACCGACTTCGAGAGCCTGATCTAGCGAGAAGTGATCCATTGCTGTGAAAGAAGGTGTAGGAATTGGTACTGGATGTTGAAGAAGCTCAAGCATCTGCTGCAACAACTCACCATGCTTGGTAAGCTGAGCATTCATTTCATTGGCTTTGCTGTTGAGAGCAAAGATAGCCTCAGCATTGGTGCGTACAGCGGCTTGCACCACAGAAAGTTGTTCCTTCACATCATTGACGTCAGCTTTGACAGCTGAGAGGTTAGAGGAAATGTCATCCCTGAGAGGCATGCCTTTATGGAATTGATCCATTATGATAAGACAGTCTCTACGGTCGAGAGTATCAGCTTCAAGTCATTAGCCATGTTATAGTCTTCTTCCATGGCTGGCGTTCCTTCATCGCAAGGACCGGAAACAGAAGATGGTTGAGCATAAGAGAGCTTGGGGTTAGAAGTAATAAAAAGTAGGTTGGAATATTACCTGAGGATTTATCAGCACCATCTGAAGGATTGATACTGGTTCTCTCCAGGTTGCCTTCGAGAGGATAGGCTTCCATTGACTGAGGTGTTTCGAGAGGAGCAACCTCAAGTGTTGTGGTGGGTGCTACATCATCAGCGAGGACAATCATTGATGAGTTATGAGCATGTGTCAAGACTAAAGAAGGAGGAGAGGATAAGGTGGCTGAGATTGGTGGAAGTGGGTGTTAAGTAGTGGTTATGCTAATATTCACACCTTAAGTGATTTGCGTCACTGAGGCAGTTGAGATAATAGCCACATGTACGACAGTGATTGTAGAAATCACTTAAGAGATTGGAAGAGATAAAGCTAAAGGTGCCTCAGGGTTAAGGCTTGTTTCAATAACTGGAACCTTTTGAAAGGTAACAACCATATATGTGGTTATCCCCTTTTTGGCTTTCTTGGCCCTCGATGGAGAACCAAAAGTGGTTTGTGAGGATCTTTTAGAAGAGAGAGTTGTGATGGTTGAGATAGAATTTGGGGGGTTTCCTTAGTCTTGACCACCGGACTAAGTGAAAAAAGACATACAGACACAGTTGGAGAAGATGAAGAAGTATATGCATGCACAATCACAAGGGAGGAGAGTGCAACATCTTCAGCTTTCAGCTTATGATCCAAGATTCTGGATCCAATCTTGTAGATGGGAAGGTTGCCTTCCATGGAGTCTTGTTGCTAAATATTTTAGAAAACACCATTGATAAGAATTTGGTGTAAGGTGCTACCTTCTCCCTCTGGCGCTTGTCCAGCTTCAGGACCAGGTCTTCAAAAATCATGCCGACAAAGTTGTTTGGCCTTTGGCAAATGATGGAGACGCCAATACTTAATGCAACTCTGGACACTTGATATTGTCCACCAGTTTTGACTCCCATACATTGGATGAATTGGGAAAACAAAAACTTCCATACCGCAGAAATGCGGTTCTTCTCAAATTTTGAAAGCGACTTGAGGGGATCACTGGAATCCTTCTTTGGTGGCCAAACGTAGCTAATATCAACAAAACAAGAGATGATATCTTTAATGGAAGGTTCACTAGCATAAGGACCCTTTGGTAGACGGAGAGCGGTCTATACAGTCATCCTGTTGAAGGTGTAGGAGATTTTTTCCACCTATTTACCAGTCTTGTCAGTATCATGAACTACTTCAGCAGTAAGCCAGAATTGCTAAAGAACTTCCTTCACCATGACAGGTTCATGGGTGATACCAAAGAAGATAGGAGAGTTCTTGAGGAATGTAGCAGCTTCCTCATAGTAATATTTATTGGCCGAAATGTCTAACATCGCCACATGATTGTTGGGCTTTAAAGACATATTGTCAATCAAGAAGTTCACATTCTTGGCAGACATTTTTGTTATAAATAGGAGAGAATAAGAAATAGTAGATCTGTTAGAAATCCAAAATATAGTTGTAAGCTCTTAAGTTTTGAAACAGTAAGATTTCTGTTGAAAAATCCACATAAAATATTATGGTTTTTCAAGAAGAGTATGTGTATAGAAACTTTAGATTAAAGTCAAGTAAAATAATATGTTAATAATCTTTATGTTGGTTGTTTAAGAGAACAAGATCTTAAATAACCTAACATGAGTTTCTTAGAAGAAGAACATATCAAACAAAAAGAAGTGTTATCAACCTGTGAGTCTTAGACGAAGAAGAAGGTTGAAGGGTGTTATATCCCAAATCTGACAGTAGAACGATTTACACTAGAAGATTGAAAGAGTAAGTAAACAGGAAGATTAAACAGAGAAATAGCGGCTGCTTTTCTATTATTGAAAATAAAGATTACAAACTCTCAAGAAACCCTAATCGACTCTCATATGATTTTGAATCTATCTATTACAAAGRGAAATCTCTTGGTGCTCTTGAATTCATTTTTCTCTATCTCAAACACTCTATTTATAGGCAATAACCTACCAAACCTGGATAAGATTAATGCTATCCAGAAC